AAAAATACTGCATGTATTAGTAATAAGTTCCACCCACTCATTATGGTCTGCTTTGATTTTCATACCAACCCAGGACAACACGTTGTTATTGGGACATCAAAAGGAATCCCAAGAACCTTTAGCTACTCCCTTCAAATTTCAAGTACATATTCTGATAGTATTCCATATATTCATATATTCCACTCCATGAGAAAAATGAGAAAAGAGAATATAAAGAACAATTAGTAATTGGTGTGTCTGAATTACCTGAGCAGTTTGTGACCATTTGTTGTTGCCACCTCAGCAAGACTAGTCAAGATTTTTAGGTATTGGTTTTCATTCTGCTGAGATAAGTGTTCTAGGACTTGTCGCAACTGGATACAGAAAAAAACAGTCACTAAATGTTTTGGTCACATCAATTTGTTGTTGTTCAGTCGCACAGTCGAGTCCGACTCTTCACGACCCCATGGACGAACTCTCGCCAGGCCTTCCGGTCTGAGTATTAAAATCTAGGAATATGCATTGTTATGCAGAATAATTTCTAACAAATAAGGCTATCATACAGTTAAAGTTACCTGAATTACTTTTAGAATTTTGATTTAAAAAACAACTATATCAGTTAGGACAGTTAAAATCAAGTTTACCATGTTTTCTCGCAGATCTTCATTTTGGGTCATCTGAATAATTGTTTGGAAAAGTCTAGGATGATGTTGTATTAGAACTTCACAAGTTTCTCCATAGCCACCCTGAAAAAGGAAAAAAAATTATAATGTGAAACATATTTCAGAAAATTAAGGGCCCCAGTCCTCCACTTGCAGCTGCTGGATGACCTTGGGCAAGCCATAGTTCTGTCAGAGCTGTTCTCTCAGAGCTCTCTCAGCCCCACCTACCTCACAGGGTGTTTGTTGTGGGGAGGGTAAGGGAAAGGAGTTTGTAAGTTGCTCTGAGATTCCGAGTGAAGGGTGGGGTATAAATCCAATCTCCTCCGCCTCCTCCTCCATAACTGAAATCACCTGAACAAATACTGGCAGTTCTAAATTCATGTAGGAAAACAAGGTGAGCTGAAACAACCAAGAGGGAAACCCACAAAGATGCATGGAGTAGGGGGGGAAAGCAAGAGTCCAGTAGCACCTTAAAGATTAGCAACATTTGTGGCAGGGTATGAGCGTTCATGAGTCACTGCTCACTTCTTCAGATCAGTATCCAACCACTGGACTCCTGCTCTTTTCTACTGCTACAGAATGACCAACATGGCTACCCATCTTGATCTATCTGCATGGAAGAGGGGAAAGCCTGCTTGCTGCAGTTTCAGCTTCTCTGCTACCAGTGCCATCCCTTACCTGCTTCTCTTCCTCCTCCTGGTTGCCACTAGTGTTCATGTACATAGCAACACAAAAGGCCATCTGAACTTTAAAATTTGGAGATTTTTCCATTTCAGTACATCTGCAGTTATGATGGGGGGAGTGGTTTAAAAATTATACACCTTGGTGTTTTCTTAGAATCATAGAGTTGGAAGGGACCATACAGACCATCTAGTACAACTCCCTGCCCAATTCAGAACCAGCCTAAAGCATCTCTGACAAATATTCGTCCAGCCTCTTTTTGAAAGCTGTCAGTGAAGGGGAGCTAACCACCTCCCTAGGCAGCTGATTCCACCTTTGAACCACTCTGACCATGAAAAAGTTTTTCCTAATATCCAGCTGATACCTTTCTGCATGTAATTTAAACCTGTTGCTTTGGGTCCTGTCCTCTGCTGCCAACTGGAACAGCTCCTTGCCCTCCTCCAAATGACAGCCTTTCAAATATTTAAAGAGAGCAATCATGTCCCCCCTCAATCTCCTCTTTTTCAAACTAAACATTCCCAAGGCCCTTAGCCTATCCTCATAGGGCTCAGTCTCCAAACCCCTGATCATCCTCGTCGCTCTCTTCTGCACCCTCTCGATTTTGCCCACATCCTTTTTGCAGTGAGGCCTCCAGAACTGCACAAAGTACTCAAGGTGCGGCCTGACCAGACTTCCGGATTTGCAGCGCTGCACCGCGGGCAATTCTCGGGTCGTCTCCGAGTTTCCCCGACCCTTCTCGATTCTATCAGGGCCCCCAGGTCTCTGTGACCACCGTGGGCTCTGCCTGGTCTCCTGGAGAGAGACCAGGTTGCAGGGGACTTATTCGGTCAACCGTGACAACAGCAGTTGGCGGGGAGAGACCTTTTGTCCTGACACTGGATCAGGAAGAGCAGCAGAGCATGATCGCCATGCTCTGCATGAGCTGTGACCACCCATTTTAAATAGTTGGATATAGTTTCAATATATGGCCACAAAGGCAAAAAGAGATCACGTAATTTCTGCTTCAAATCTGTGAAGACCTTCTATAGAGAGCCCCTCAGGATTACTCCCAATGTACAGAAAAGCAACGGCGGTGAGGGAAATTACCGGAGCAAAAGGCAACTTGAAAGCATTATGAGGCAAGGAACAATGTAAGTCAAAATTTGTAACTACCTGAACTTAAAAACTTTTATATATTAAGTAGTCCTTTAAAAACGTTAGAAATATAACGAATATCAGGACGAGATTCAGATAAGAAAATGGCACCATCGGGGGTTTGTGTACCGATAGCAGCTGGAGAAATTAAAGGGACAGAGCTACTACTTGTTGATACTGGACAGCTTACCGTGGAACAATTCAAAAAATGGTTGGCTGAAGAGATAGGACAGGCAGTTATAAATGCTTTTCAAAATTACCAGGATATAGGCATGAAGCGGGAAAAGGAGGAAGAAGAGGAGTCAGTGGAGAGCCCAAAGAAGGAACTGATTTACAGACAAGAAAAGACACTGCAAAACGGACACCCTCCCCCCAGGGAAAAAAGGAAAGTTTCTAACCAAAGGCAGAAAGTAAAGAAACCTGTCCAATATTGTCTGATCAGGAAAAGTTTAAAAGAAAGTTCCCAAGAACAACCAGTTAGGAAAGGCAGTAAACGGACGAAAAAAAGAGTGAAGCCTTTTCCAAGGAAAAATCCTAGGCATAACAGGAAACTGAACATTACCTTACTGAGGCATAAAGGGCAAAATTTGGAATGGAAATCAGATGAGTATAAAGAGTTGAGACACCTAAGATTGATCATCAAGAAAAGGACACCTCAGAAAGTCTGGGTGACAGACTTGATTTATAACAGTACAGGAACTGTTGAAATCTCACAAGGCTGAAATAAAAAGAATGGCAAGATTCCTCTCTCGTATGTAGGAGAGACTCAACTAATTTATGTGTACCTGCACTGTTTAAACAATTACCTAACAGTTGGAAATTATATCTGTATCCACCATAGTGAAAATAATTTAATAAGAAGAGTATATAGGAGAATCAATATAGTTGTACCTATGTTGTTCATCCAATCATTTAATAGCTGGAATTAAGTTTATATTTGATATAGTGAAAATAATGTAATAAGAAGAGTGTGTAAGAGAAAGAGAAACAGGCTGGAATAAATAACTGTTTTTTGAAATTATAATTTTATTAATATTTGAATTGTTTATAGAAATGTTGGAATTTACATAATGCTAAAATGAAGGTAAATTGCATTACCTCTTATGCAGTTTGAATAACAAGACTTACTTATTTATATTTATATGGTTTATTCAATTAATTTAGGGTTGAAATTATATTTATACTTCTTGTATTGGGTGGAATTTATCTTTGTGTTATTATAAACAATTAAAAATTATTAAAAACGAGAATAAATAGGAGGAACTGAAACGGACCTGAATAGAAGGCCGTGATAGTAATGACCACTATTGTTTTTATATTTGAATTATATATTATTAAATGAACTGCATAGAGTATGGTAGAGTGATATGACGTTTAAGTTCATGGTATATAGAGAGAGCCAGTTTGGTGTAGTGGTTAAGTGCGCGGACTCTAATCTGGGAGAACCGGGTTTGATTCCCCACTCCTCCACTTGCACCTGGCTGGATGACCTTGGGCAAGCTATACTCCTGTCAGAGCTGTTCTTGAAAGGGAACAGTTTCTGTCAGAGCTCTCTCAGCCCTACCCTACCTCACAGGGTGCCTGTTGTGGGGAGGGGAAGGGAAAGGAGTTTGTAAGCCGCTCTGAGACACCTTTGGGTAGTGAAGGGCAGGGTATAAATCCACTATTGTTTTTATATTTGAATTATATATTATTAAATGAACTGCATAGAGTATGGTAGAGTGATATGACGTTTAAGTTCATGGTATATAGAGAGAGCCAGTTTGGTGTAGTGGTTAAGTGCGCGGACTCTAATCTGGGAGAACCGGGTTTGATTCCCCACTCCTCCACTTGCACCTGGCTGGATGACCTTGGCCAAGCCGTAGTTCTGATAAGAGCTATTCTTGAAAAAGAGCAGTTTCTGTCAGACCTCTCTCAGCCCCACCTACCTCACAGGGTGTCTGTTGTGGGGAGGGGAAGGGAAAGGAGTTTGTAAGCCGCTCTGAGACACCTTTGGGTAGTGAAGGGCAGGGTATAAATCCAAACTCTTCTTCTTCTTCTAATTGTGGGTACATAAATTCTTCTAATTGGTGGGTACATAAAAATAATTTGGGTAAGAGAGCAAATATTAACTTTGGATGATAACGAGAAAACAGAAGATAAGAATAAAAAATGTAAACAATGTAAATACTAGATATGTAAGGTAAAGATTGGAACCAAGAGAAGGAGCACATATACAGGAAATGAAAGTCTAGAGAAACTTTGTTTCTGGTGGTCAGATATACAATTATATCATAATTGGCCGAGGTATAGTTGAAATATATATTAAAAAAGCAGAAGTATGTGAACAAATATTCTGGGAAATATAGTCAACAAGATGGGGAAAATGTAATTTGTAACCTTTTGTTGTGATGGAAACCCTTTGTTATAGAAAACTGACGTCTCCTCCTTTCTTTTTTGTTTTGTTTTTAATTAATAAAGAGATTATTTTTTTTAAAAAAAAGTACGGCCTGACCAAGGCAGTATACAGAGGGGCTATGACCTCCTGCGATTTTGATGCTATGGCCCTTTTAATACAACTCAAGACTGAGTTTGCCTTTTTTGCCACCGCATCACACTGACTGCTCATATTTAGTTTACAGTCCACACTTACCCCAAGATCTCTTTTGCATACACTACTCCCCAGAAACGTATCCCCCATCCAGTATTTGTGCTTGACATTTTTGTGGCCCAGATGTATTACTGTGCATTTATCTTTGTGGAATTGAATCCTGTTTGTAACTGCCCACTTCTCCAGAGTATTCAGGTCTTGTTGGATTTTAATTCTATCTTCTTGGGTGTTTACTACTCCTCCTAATTTGGTATCATCAGCAAATTTAATGAGTAGTCCTTCTACCCCTTTATCCAGATCATTGATAAAAAATATTGAAAAGTACCATATTTTTCGCTCCATAAGACGCACTTCCCCCCCAAAAAAAGTGGGGGGGGGTGTGCGCGTCTTATGGAGCGAATACTGCAAAAAAGAGTGGGCGAGCGAGGGGCCGATCAATCAGCCCACCGAGGACTCTTCGTCATGGCTGCGCAGCTGCCGCCTGGTGTCTGGCCCGCCCGGGGACACCACCTGCCCCATCCAGGACGTTGGGAGTCGCCCACAGTCCCCCATCCCCCCCCGGGTCTGGCTGCCATACGGGGGCGGGAGGCGACGGGCCCATCGACAGCTGCGTCCCTCCTCTCCGCACCCTCGAGTTGAGTGGTGTGTTCTTGTCCTCCCCGCTGTGCTCGAAGGGGACCCCGGAGGTAAGGCTCCCTCTCGGGGACAGGCTGTTGAGCTCCGCGCATCAAGGTGGGGGAGAGGGGTTGGGGAGGGAACTCTCGGCGAGTTTGTCTTTCCACCCGCCCCCCCCCTTCCCGTGTTGCAAGCGCGGCGGGTGGCTTGCTGTTCCGGAGCCAAGTTGTGCCAGCAGCAAAGTCTGCTCGGGACAAGGC